CCTCCATCCGTTTGGTGGAGAAGTGGAATATCTACACATAGCCATATAGGAGATGGGTTAGTTTAGCAATTGGTTTCTTGTTCTTAATACCAGAGATGGAACACTTACTTTTAAAATTTTGCACAACTCATCGACGGCATCCCATTCCTCCATAGAAATCATGGCACCTTGATAGTACCTGGTCTTTCGATCGGCGATGAGGATCGAATCAATCACCTATAAGGCGAAAAATTTAAACAAAAAATTAATGAAATGATCAAAAAAAGATTGAGCAGAGAGACTCACATCACGACCAGCGACCAAGTTTGAGAACATTGCTAGGTCAATGTTCCACCTTACACCCCATCCTGCAATCGGAGCAGGACCTTCATATCCCATCTGTGCCGCCCGAGCTGCGAATTCTCCACGCCGGGCATTGCTTCGAGTTAAAAGGGCATTGATATCTTTGAGCTGGTGTTTAGGTCAATCAATCAGTCAGCTTTGAATGAGATCAAGGTGAAGAAAATCGATTGAAAAACCACATACCTTGGTGGCTCCCTGAACCACAACACACGGGCTAGAAGAGACGTAATCATAGTCGGGACCATCTTCGACATCTGAAGTGGAGTCAACATGAGGATTCGATGAGGGTGAAACATAAAAATCATTGTCTGAATCATCAGACCCAACCAATTCGGTCATGTCTTTGTTGAGGACGATCGAGGGGATTGGGATGGTGGTGTTGGGAGGAGTAGTTGGTTTGATGTGATCTGCAGCTAAACCGATTGAATTCAAACCATGCTTAACCACAAGTCCGAGCTTATGAGCATAGCATCGGACGTGATTCTTAGAAGAATCCCATTCGACTTTCTCATTGGATTCAGCAAACATATGCTCCATCTCTTTAGCCATCGTGTTATTGTTGGATCCCGAGTCGGTTGTTTGAGCTAGCATGTAAGGGTTCAATCTTTGAATTAGTTACTTGTATGATGTAAGAGGTACAAAAACAGTACTTATCTTAGCGTGAAGGCCGTTGTTGATCAAGAATCGACCAACTGGTCGAGCAAGCAAGAATCCCATCTTGTTCCAAGCAGCCATTTTGAGAGTGAGGTGAACCGATCGGTATTTCCAATTCTCATCGATGAAATTGGCTGATACTCCAATAAATGCATATCTATTACCTTTCGTAGTCCAGACATCATGGACGAGAGAGAACTTTCCTGCATTAACCTATGAACAGATGTAAATGCACATGTCAGTAAATCAGTTGTATGAAAGAGTATAAAGAAATGGAACAATTGGAATAAGTAAAGCGAAATGAAGGTGAAGCTTACCAATACTAAATCTATAGCAGCCGAGCTCAGGTTGAGATACAGATCCTTTGCAATACCTGCAGCCCAGGTTGGGGTCCTCAAATCCGCTCGTCGATTAGCTAGCTTGAATGCGGCTCTTAAAGGACCATCATAGAACCGATTGAATGGCAGTGCATGCCATAAAATCCAGATAACAAGTACAATGTTGCACATGTCAACATTGAAGGTGGGTTGAGACAGAAAAACATCTAGAGTCGATTGTCCGTTGGCTTCGTTCAGGTCTTGAGCGTTATCAGCTTGTTCTTCAGCCCAAGTCTTTGGCAACTCGAAGCCAGCTTGAATGGCACGAGCTCTTCGGGGACACGCCGCTCGACCTTTGGCTCCGTCACGATGTGCGTACAAATTGTAGTGACTACGAGCTCCACGGATGTAGACTCCGGCACACATTTGGCATTTGTAGCTTCGAGGGTCGTCTCCTTTCTACAATGAAGAAGTAATAGAAAAGAATAAACACAAGAGAAAAGTGAGGAAAGGGAATGGATGAGTGAAAAGGACGGCTTACCTCGCCTTTGACATGAGTTGGGGGATGGTAATACCCCAACAAGTTGCTGACACGTTTGAGCTGAGCACGTCAAACACCGGGCGACTGGACGATCTCAACGTCTGAGTCTTGATCCACATCGATCACATCAGGAACTGTGGCCTACATTCAATCAAAGATTAGCGTCAGTGATTGGAGCTGCGAGGAAAATGTGATTAAGCTTACCTGAAGTCGTCCTTTCCTGGACTTCTTGGAAGGGGGGCGAGTTAAGGTGATTGAGGCACCAGAACCACGTGGACGGCCTCGACTTTTGACCACATGAACCTTTGGTCGAAACTTACGGGTGGTCTTCTTTCGTGAGGAAGGATCCGGTAAGGACCTTGTGTCAGACTCGTCAGATTCAATCTCAATGACTTCTTGACTACCAATCCCATCGCTGGTGTCAGATTGGCCACTAGAAACTTCATAGATATCTTGATTGTCGGACTCGGCCGTTTCAGGTACTGGAGACGGGCAAACAGAAGAGACTCGTAGATCAGGTGATTGGGGAACAAATCCAGGTCTAGGTTGAGTAGGGGTTCTTGGACGAAGGGTGGGGCCCGTACTAGTGGGAGCCATACTAGTAGCAGCAGGAGGAGCAAGCGAGGAGGATGGAGGGCGCATGATCGAGTTGTTTAGTGATTGAACAAAAAATTCGAACGGTTGGAAAGTCTAAAACAGGAAAATTAAATATATAAAATATTAGAATTTTTTGGGTACAATCTTAGCAGAATTCTTGAAATGGGAAGATTGGCGAGACTGAATATGAACTGAACAAGAGTCGACATACCTTATAAGTCGGATCCAGGATGAAGATTTCTTTCAGCGTCATCGAGTGACCCATGGCCCCCATTTTGAGACAGCCAGCCCCACCGTAAACAGTGCTGGTGTCACGTTGATTCTTGAAGGACCTAAGTGTCGATTCAGGTATTGATGTGAGATAATCAAGATGTCAGTGGAGGCAAGAAAAGAGTCAAAAATGGTCGAGTGAAGAGAAGAACGTACGATTTTTGGTGGTTGGCGGTATCTTTTATGAGATGAACATTTGATTGTGGCTGGGATTAGACTCTTTTTGAAGGTCAGATCAGATATCGTATATCTGCGGATATACGATATCATACGATATCTTAAAGGAATCAACGTATGGCGGCAAAGGATCAGTCGGAAAGGAATCGGTTGGCTGATATCTTGAAGTATACCTCAAAACCGCTACATGTTAGATCTGACAGCCTGCATAATGGAGCGGGGCGAGAGTTTCTAACCGCCCCACTAATGCCGTGCTCCACTACAACAAAGAAAAACCCCGGGAAGCGCGGACGGGGCGAAAAACCCCGCTACAACGGACCCGGGGAAGCGCAGGCGGAGCGTCCCGCTCCCCTGCCGCTCCCCTCTCGCTTTTTGCGGCGGGACGCTTCAGGCATTGTTTCCAGGCTGGACTCAAGGCCCCGGGCTTGGCCTCAACCTAGCCCAAAAAACTCTTGGGCAGACTTGGCTGGGCAGGGCCGGGGCCAGGTCATAGCCCTAGGTTGAGATGTCAAAGTCAAGAAAGTGACATGATGTATCACATGTGATTTATTGTTCCAGATGAGCACCCAAATGTGCAGCCCTATATGTACATGATAGGGAACTATCTACTTAGCCTGCTGCACATATGTAGTGTGGGTGTTCTGGCTAAGGTGTACAATGATGGATTGTTTCATTTCCCCTTCCCACTGGGAGAAATTTTATGATTTTTACAGTGTATGTTCATGCAGGGCATGCCCAGGTCCTGTTCATAACAGTATGCTCTCAGAAATACTTGACTTATAGCTATTTCTGGAGACAATTCATCACAGCCAAGGCTTGGACCCGGCCTCAAAAAACCAGTCCAATCTGGGCTATATTCACAGATCCAATATGCTTTGTGAGCTGTTTCTTCAATGAAGACCAAACTTTGATGGGCAATAAAGTGAAAGAAAAGTACTGAGTTCATATATACAACTCATTCCTCACTGACACACATCATAATGTCACATCATCCACTAATAACATCATAGCTTCCTTTTCATCATTGAATTTCAAAGCTTAGGTTACAGTATTTTTTCATCATCACATCTTCTATAAATTTAGAAAACTGTGCCAGAAAACATCAAAACAAAAGCAGGAGCCATAAATTTACCTGTGGAGGTATACCATATAGTCTGTGGACAATCCCCTTGTTCAGGTGAGATTTTTAGAAAAATCTACAGTCATAGTCCCTATTTTGGTCACACAGATAACTTGAGTTTTCAGTAAATATCTTATGGTGTAACTATTACTACTAATTTATTATCTGTTGGGCCTCAGAAAAAAATAATGAAGGTTTTTACTACCTGAAGATTAAACTTCAAAGTTTATCACTGGAACTGAGAACCCAAAAATACAGTCTTCGCTGTGTTCAAAACTGAAATTTGAACACTTTCATTCTTTCTCAATGTCCAGGATATAACAAAATAGCTGTACATACCAACTTTCACAGAAATAAATATGTTTTCTTAACAAGTTGGGTTGTGATTCATCATATCAGGTTTCAATCAAGTTTGAATTTGTCTTTCATCATGTACGTATCATATGATCAAGAAATGACAAAGAAGAAAGACTTTTTGAAGTAAATATCATCAGTCAGAATGTGAGTGCAGGTTACACTGGTTCCCACTACTTGATGGCAGTGTGGAAAAAAGAACTTATGCGCGTGTTTACCCAATGTTCTCATTTTGGATTGTCGAAGTGTTCAATTTAATTTCTATCACGCGTCCGTGTTCTCCTTCTTGTTTCATGCTTTGGCATTGTTCTGGAAGGTACCGGCTGACAGAGACGGAGGTTTAGAAATACAAAAGTCACACATAACATCCACACAGTGTGCAACACTAGGGACAAAATATAAAAAGACACAATCTTATGATGAGAAGGTGTAGTAAATGCTATATCTATAGTAAAAATGCATCCATGATAAATTTCAAGAAATAATAAATAGATCCACAAGAAGATAACCAATTGCAAGTCACAAACAACATCGGAACCAGTCACCGCGAGAGAGAATTAAATCAATGAAAAGATGAGTCAACTAAGATACTTTACAAATCAACCTCAGACAGGATATTGTATCGAGCTCAAGCCAGCACATTTGGGGAGGACAGCGAAGCATAATGGTCTTTCAGGTTCTTCACCAACCATACTATATCAGGTGAATTAGAATGTCTAAGGGATGTGATGTGATAAAACTCTTTGATCGCTCGAGAAATTTCGGGCCGCTTAGATCCTGGATGCTTTAGGATGAAGGTATGCAGTGATCCGAGAACTTGTCTGATGTACAGATTGTCGTCTATTAATAAATCGCTTTTTTGATAAGGTCGGTGTAGACGGGCCGCTAGTATCACGGGAATCGACTGTTCGACATGATCATTTGTTAAGCGGTCCAGCCATACTGTCTCAGGTCTGACTCTTTGATATAGTTCGTGAACAAATGAGTAAATGGCCATGTGATCATATTTAATCATTTCAGAGTCCTCTAGGCGCTTCTCCAGGTCTTGATAAAATTTCCATTCCTTTTCGTGAGATTTAGATTCATCGGGACGTGTTCTAAGATAAGATGGGATTAGATCGATCAGGATTTTTTGAATTCTTTTCCCCTCCAGAGTATTGTCAAAGTATTCGAATCCTGGGTGAGCGGCTTGTCGAGCTCGGCTACTTGCAAGGGAGAATGCATGATCACCAGCCTCGAAAGGCTGTAGTAAAAGAATTCTTGTATGGATCTCTCCTATGGTATAACTCTTCTCATTAGCTTTGGCCAACTGATACATAGGATCAAAGCTTGGACTGTTTAATGTTTGTTGCTTTATATACTCTGTGAACATTTCCGGATCGACTGTTAATCACGTAAGAAAAAGTGCTGATATCAGATCTAGTCTCATCAGGGTGAATGATTGAGAGCTTACAGTTTTTGACATATCTCTGGGCGGTTTCGGGACCTTGAATTACCAGAGAAGGTGCAAAAACATTCATGATTCAAACACCGTCACTTTGTTCATGACCAAAATATTATAAAACTACTCACTGTCAATCACCATGACTGGCACCCAGCTTGGGTGTGGACTGACTGGGCTTTTACCCCCCCAAGACCGTGGCTTTGCGATTAGGGAAACCGCATCTTGAAAGGCAACTAGAGATTGACGGAGTTATGTTCAATGTTCTGTTTAATGATCATGTTTCAAGATTCTCACTTTTCCAAAAGGTAAACTCGTACTTTTCATTCTTTGGCCTAACCTCCTAGGAGAGTGCTTCGGGGTCCAAACCCTTGCTGGTTTCTTTTCCAGAGGGTCCGAGACCGGTCCAAATTGAAAATCGCCGGATGTTTCTGTTAATTAGCGGAACGTGGAATCCAGTCAGCAAAAGTCAAGCGACTGAAACAGAGTATTGCCATCGATTGAGCATTTTTGTGGCCTTGGATGTCACTCAGCGAGTAGGAAATCCCACCTTTTGTAAATATGGCGGGAGGTCTCCGTGTCTTCCAACCCAAGCCTATCAAAAACAAATCGGCCCAACAGGATTCAGCTTTGATGAAGTCTGATGAAACCTTGAATTATACAACAACATTGCGAACTTGATGCAAAAACTTACGCGATTTTTCTCTGAGCACGCGGTCCGTTGTAGAAGCAGACGGCTCAAGGCGGGTATCTGTGAGGAGATACATGATATTGCAAAGAAACCCTCTCAGTTTACTTGTCACCTAAATCTTTTGAATGATACGTAAGATCAAGCTAATTGCTTTTGATATGATTCGAATACATACACATTCCGCCCCGTTCATATCCTGAAGTAGAAAAGCTTCTAAAGCTCAAAGCCGCATGAAGAGCGCCATCTGCCTGTTCCATCGCACCACCAACGAAAAGGAATGAAGAGAATGACATCCCCACGGATAAGAGCCATGTCTTGATCCGTAACGATTGAGGTAAACTCTTTTGCCTGAGATTTCCTTGGACCATTCTCGAGTAGATGATTTTCTTCGTTTGAGTATATGTGAAATTTTAAAGGATCAAACCTCAAGGGGAAATCGTTGGGGGTCAGATCTGTAGACATCTATGGATTATAAGCTGCCGATTCTGAAGTGCTTGGCGCGCCAGGAAATGGTGGAGAAGAAGAATCCATCTTTTTCTTTACTTGTAGCCTGTAGGATTAGCTTCGAACTCCGAACGGTCTTAATGGTCCGTGATTGCGAGTTGGTACTTGTATCGCATCTTAGCACAATACAAATAGGCTATGTTATCACTCTTTGTATAGCAAGCAAAGGAAAAATCGGCCTATAAGTGATTTCAGTGACCCTCTAAAGAGGGGCATTCACTTTTTGGGTTTAGGAAGCTATCGATTGAATGGAGATCTGACACAATCTTATGTAGAAGATTGGTTTAGAATTCCTGAACAAATGTTTGATATGATTGCGACTAACTTGTAACAATTTCTTGGTAATTATATACACCACGGAGGCACTCTGAATGACGGCGGGAGGCGGCATTTCAGCCAATCACCCATATTTGATCAGTTCGATCTAAAACCTGTCTGCAATAGGCCAGCAGACCGGCAGCTGTCGGGCCGCAGATCGCCCGCATAGGTGGCCGAATGCGGCCTGCCAGTAGGCCTCAAGGCGGCGTGTAGATCGCCCTCCTGGCCGCCCTCAGGCGGCCTGATGCCTGGCTCTTGGCGAGCCTGCCAAATCCGATCGGCAGATCGCCCTCTGGCCATCAACAGCCCGGCAGCAGTCCACCTTTCGGCTAACCTGCCAAATCCGTTCGGCTTATCGCGTTGAACTGGCCACCTGCTGTTCTCCACTCGACCACCACAATCATCCGCCAACACACCATTGTCAGAGCCTCTCCGCCGCCCATTCCACCGCACCGTCCACCCATCATCTCCACATCCAATTCATCATCATGAGTAATGCAACCCTTCATAGCTCACTGCCACCACGTAAGTCACATGGTGGTTATGGTCATGGTCAGCCACTGATTTCCAATCTGTCAATAACCAGACATCGTCGAACTCACTGGGGTCCCCATCAGATATCAATGTCATGTCTGCCCACACAGCCGGACTATGCTAAACTATGGTCCTCACGTGCAAACAACCACACACAGAGCTGCGGTGGAAAAATTCTTGACAAGACAAGTATCAGACCTAGCATCCCAACAAGAAATTCAGCTGGACAGAACCCCATCTCCACCTGTTGATATCCTTAACCTGAATCTGAACCACTTCTTTGATTCCGACGAACAATCTTCGCAGCCACCTTCCATTCCACCTTCACCCCTCACTTTGCTCCGGTCATTCACCGAAGATCACGAATACACAGATGATGACTTGGCCAGTGAGCTCGATTACGACACGCTTCGTGAAGCGTTTCTGGCACTTGAATCTGGTGATGATGATCCTGAAGACAAAGATGAAGCTGTGTTCAACGAAGAGCTGGATTCTGACGTTGGAGGTATTGAAGACACTGGTGATTGGTACCCATTCAAAAAGAAAGAGGTAAGCTTTGTTCACATATTGTTTCACTGACTGGCTACTAATAGCAATCGTTCAAATGGTATTAGCATGTGGTGGCTTTGCTTATGATTGGGTCAAACCGAAACCTCCTCTCACGGCCTCAATACCACCGCATTCGGTCGCTCCTTTGACTGCTTGGTGTCACTCTCCCGGAATGGGGTACTTTGAGGAGACTGGTCAAAAGGTTGAAACTCCAGTTGGGTCTCAAGATACGTGAGAGGATTAGTCCATGTGGTAATCCACTATTTGGATTAGATATCAAGACAATCATAATTAATGTTAGCCCTCTTGTTTCACAAGTCGTGTCCTTCTCAGGTATAAAGCTAATTAAATTTGTCTTTAGGAGTTGGCGAACCCCTTAGTCAGCCCCTATTTGGTTTACGTGCCTGAGCTCACCATTGATGGGCCAATCAACCATCTGTCACAATGCGCAAAGTGGCGTGAAGATTATCCGCCACATTTACGAGTTCAAATGATATCATCTAACAATACCCACTACTACATCTACGAACCAGTCCAACTGCACACTGAGCAGCTGGTAGTACCTGTTTTCTTCTTCCAACAAGACCGTGCGCTTATGGCTAGGTGTCTGCCAGCAGTGGTCAAACCCGACCCTCATCACCAGTCAAATTTTCGAGTAATAATACCTGAAAATCAAGATTTTGATTCAGAGATACTTTTAAACATTCCTTGCAATGACTTCTGGCGAACTTTTGATCATGTGGAGTTGGAGCATGAAGTACTTCTGAAAAACTGGTGTGGCGATTATATGTATAGTAAGTCTCATTTTGCATCCTTGTGGTCCGTTTGCCGTGCTGACAAATGAATTGAAGATTTGGTCAATGCCACTGAACCTTGTCATCCAATTTCGAACCCATGGCGAGCGAAGGCACAAGGAAAAGTAATCCGACATATTCCTCTAGCTCTATATTCCGACGACACTTCCGGAAACGTGTCCAAAAAGTGGAACAAACACATGAGTATCTACTTCACTCTGGCTGGCTTACCCCCCAATCTATCCAACCAAGAATTCAACATCCACTTCCTGGCAACTTCAAATTGTGCTACAGCTCTAGAGCTATTTGATCAGGTTGTTGATGATCTAAAGTGCAGTAATATTATAATTTATCTGTTTGCTAAATTTTGTATTGACTCGGGGTGTCTATCCGTAGTGATTATGGAACCAATGGCTTCTTTGCTTACGATGAGAACCTTGGCGAGGAAGCAATGGTCATGGCGGTGTCTCTTTTTCATCTGGGTGATTCACCGATGCACGCGGAGATATCAAATACCCTCAACCCAGCAAACACGCTTACTCCTTGTCGTATGTGTGATTTACATGTGAAAAAGCAGGCCGACAAACAATCAGAGAACTTTGTCAGAGATTTTCTTGGCATAGACGAGGATGGAGAGAAGGTAGTGTTCAAATTGCCACTTTCTTTCTTTTTGCTTTGGAATATAGGAACTTACAAGCTGGATTGATTTATATAGTCCCTACTACCTGCCCGCGATTGGGACCAAACTAGACGGTGGACCAAGGAGATGTGGTCCACATCTCAAAAACGCAACAGCAAAACCCGAGTTGAAGCAATGGCCCGAACCTTTGGAGTTCGAGATCCTATGAATGATGCTTTTCAGAAAAATGTTCAACTTGCTCACGAGACTCTGCCTCCTGCAGAGGTCGAGAAACTATGTACAGAAGTAAATGCTCAATACGGTGAACACATCTTCAATCCCATGTTGAGACTACAAGGTCTGAAATCTTCACCTTTGTCTTTGATATTGATATTAGACTGAGGAATATTGTTTGTGTAGGCTTTGATGGTCACAAGGATACTCCAGTGGAGGTGCTCCATGTTCAATTGCTGGGTATTACAAAGTATTTATTCAAACACGAAATGAACAAACTTGGAAATATCAAACTCGGTTCCAAAATGTACAACAATCTCTCTGGCCAATGGAGAGCTTTCAACACCAGAGGGTTAAATATGCCACCTATTCAACCAAACACAATGATCACCTACTATCAGAGCTTAGTGGGTAAAGAATTCCGGACTGTGTTACAGACTGTTCCTTTTGTGTTGTTTGAACATCTTGACGACCAAAAGCGTGAAATGTGGACATCTCTCTGCCTTCTGAGCTCTTATATTTTTCAGACTGAAATCCCCGACATGAAGACATACTTAGCCGAACTCGACATTCATATTTCAAGGTTCCTCAAAAATCTCATTGCCCTGAATGCTCGTTGGGTCAACAAGCCCAAGTTTCACATGCTTGTTCACCTACAAGATTCCATTCGAAGGTTTGGTCCGGCTTGTCTTTTTGCCACCGAGAAACTTGAATCTTTCAACGGGGTTACACGTCACGCATCGGTTCATTCAAACCATCAAAGTCCTGGTCAAGACATTGCTAATACATCAAACACTCGGCAATTGTTGAGAGTGTTTATCTCTGGTTCATCTTTCTTCGACTATAAGCTCGACTCTCGGGTTTTTGGTGGGCCTCGTTTGAAAGAATTATTATCGATGGTACCCGAATTATCACAAGCTATGGGCCTGAACAACTCTGCAGGGGCTTCTACATATTATACCATTGGTCGTAGGTGATGCCTTTGTTGACTGTGATTGATTAACACATCTGACCTGTCCCCCTCAGGAAAATGCCTCAAACAATCTCAGCCACCTACATGCATTCCAAACACCGTCAACCGCGCCCATTTGAAGGAATATGAAAGCATTAAGTTGCCTGGAGATATCAAGGTGGAATTGCAAGACTTTGTATTTGTGAGTCATAATTTATATGATCATTTCAGTTATTGATACGGATATCTGAGCATATATGGACCTTACAGGTCAAATCTCAACCAGGGATAGGTCAAGTCCAATCTATCTGGAAGTTAGACGGGGTATCTGAGAGCAAGACACATCTTGTCCTCAAAGTTTGTCAAAGGGGCCCCATCAACACCTTCTATGGCATGCGGGAGGTTGAATTAACCGAACAGATAGCACTTACCCATGTCAAAGTATGTATATGCATTTTGCCAATATATTGATGAACTTGGAACTAATGGCTTTGATTGGATATGACTTCCAGGATGTTGAGTGTGTAATTAACATTCAACATAACTGCCATGATGCAAAATGTACGCTTGCAAAGAACGCTCTGAAAAGAATTGAGCGCAGGGTGACCACCATGAGCCTTTGGGGGGTGGATCATGTGGACTCGCCCAAATTCATTCTGAATGTGGGCGCTCATTACAATGGGCACATTCATCGCTGGCTTTCAGGATTACATGGATCTAAAGTCTCACCTGGCGAATGGAAAGACGCAGTGAGAGAAGGCCTCCAAATATGGAAGTCGGAACCACGAGGCGCTCGAAAAGGGCAGAATAATACACAGGAGGGTGAGGATATTTAAGATGTGCGACACCTTTTTGAATGTTTATTCACAAATTCGATTTTGCTAACTCCTCCACCCATTTCAATATTCAGTTACAATAGGAGATGAAGAAGGTGTGACCATAAATACATAACACCAGCGCGCTTTCGGTCGTCAATCTGGGCCAACTTACTGTGCTGATATTTAACACCATCATCAGATTGGACCTCACGCTGAAAGTTGAAAGAGACGTACAAAACCATCCGAAGTTTGTACCTACTGTTCGACAATGCCGCGTATTGCAAATGAGTACCCTCTAATGGATGTATAAGATAATCCATCAGTATTGGAAAAATACTGATGCGGTTGAGGAACTGACTTACAATCACAATTGTAGTACCAGTTGAGCCACATGAGGGCGTCATGTGGGTCAGAGGCTATGCGAAGGGCCTCGACCACGTCGCGATGAACGGTGGCACAAATTATCGCCAAGAGGATTTCGTCCAAAACCCAATCAAACAGGGTGTTGAATTCCGGGCGAGGTTGATCCAAATAATCGCGAGTCATCCCCGCCTTGAACCAAACATTCTCGTTCAAAGTGTCCACCCACTCATTATAATTTGACCCATCCTTTTTCAATCGAGTAGTCATGGTCGCATACAACCTCATTGTACCCAAATCTAATAAACGGAGCAAGTCGTCCACAGATCGAAGATCTTGACCGGCGTCGTGTGCGTTGTCGATAGCTTCAATTAGTTTGGGAGAGATGAAAGGTTGTTCAATTTTAACTGGTGCAATGGGATAGCCCATGATGTTTTTTCGCGAAGAAGTTTGAACAGAATGGAATTGGGGCTGAATGAGGATGACTTTGTCAATAATCTCGCAAGTCTTTGAGAGAATCTCTGGCCTCTCAAAGACTTGCCGGAGATCATGTCGTTGTATTTGGGCTCAGTCAAACGATATCATGTTCGATATCGTTCGAACTTTGATATAAAATCAGATAGACTTGATTCTAATGGCACAAATAATCATTTGATTCGATTGATATTGATATCAAGATGCAAGATTGGATATCCGCATTGTTTCATTACAATCAATAACCTGAAGGCCCCACATACTGGCCGTCCAATTCGACTTGGCTTTGGTAGAACATATGGGCGTAAACCATCATCCGAGCCGCCGTGCCTGGAGAGATACCCCAAGATTTCATAATATCCTTGTTGACATATTCCTTGAATAAAAATAAGTCGAAGTGATTGACACCCTTCTCTTTCAGTATGGGAATGACTCTGGCAATCTCATCAGGTTCCACCCGGGCAAATTCCAAATAATCTTTGAGGGTAGTCGCATCCATGATCATCCGAAGAGCCGGAAAGATAACATTTCCCCCGTCAACATGGAACTCTAAAGGAAACACCTCTTTATCAAAAACAGGTACTACATTAGGCTGAAGTTGAGATAGAACCGACCTAATACCGATCGATTCGGAATTTGGTCCGGCGTACGTTTTTCGGAACCAGCGCTGATTGCGCGATAGCTTGGTGTAGGTGTCTCGTCCTCTTCACCATCGCCGCGGGAACTGACTACAGAGGCTTCCGTTTTGATCATCGGTTTTTCATCTTCTGGGTGAATTTTTTCAGAGGTTTGGTGGTTGGAGGCCGTTGCCCTAGATCTGCGAAAAGAAGGTATTGGTATAAGGTAACTACATTAAAAGAAAGTATACTTACGAGGTCTTTCGAACCTTTCGAGACCCACGGTAAAGTCCCTGCGTGCTGCTTCTGGTGGCATATCGGCTTTGTTTTTGGTTGGTCATTGTCAAATGGTGGTTTGGGATTGAGGTTTTTTGGGCCGAAGAGGTGCAAAGGAACTTTTTGGCCCAAAAAATCTATTGGGCCAAAAATCATTGAAGATGTTCTCGTGGGTCAATGATGTGCAAGAAACTTGACATGAAAATTGCAAAGGTTGCTTTTTGGTGACCCAAAAAGCAACCTTTGCAATTTTCTCGTCAAGTTTCTCGCACTGGCCATTTCAAGTGGTCTTCTTTCAGTGATAATTTATCGCTCGCTCTGCGTGGTCAAGGTGTTACGTTGTGGCAATGCTTCCCGATTCCTCGTTAGGTATTAGTGAGTACCCCTCTTTCTCTTGTTCTCTTCTTCTGAATCACTCTAATTCGTAGCTTGACCTTTGTTAGGCGGATCCTTCGACTCTCAAGGTGGTGGGAATGCATTTCATTCCCCATCCACAGGTGGCTTGAACACCTTCAACACCCAAGGCAATGTGAGGAACTCGAACGGTGAGTCAGTATATTTATGAAGTAAAAAGGATAACACTAACTTTTAGTGTTATCCTTCACTGGATCCTATTCCGCGGCCCCAATCAATTCCCCAGCATTTGGCGATGCATTTAATTCACCATCAAACCTTGGTGTTCAAAGGTTCAGCAGCCAAGGGGGCTTGAGGAACTCAACCTGCGAGTTTTTCCATTTTAAGTTCCACTTGACGCCTGGCATCTCTGACCAACTTCATCAAAACCAGCTCTCAGTTCGGTACACTCACCTAGGCGCAGCCCCACGATGCCGCCACCAAACAGCGACCATAACCGCCGCGATTGACCAGAACTCCGCATTCGAAACAATTGGTCTCTCTCTCCAAATCGCCGAGGCGCCTCCCGCTTGCCAGAACATTCTCATGATCGTTCTCGCGAACCACTTGGGCACTCCCCAAATCGAGAGAATCAAGGTTCCAACGAAGGATATCGATGGCCTGATGAGGACCTTGACAATGCTCCACAGCCGTTTGCTCATGATCTCTCCGAGCGTAACATGGTTGTATTCGACGCTTTGGCCAATCATTGCGGTTTGGATGACACGCACCGACACTTCGCGTTGTCCCATTCTGAGGTACGTCGCATTGTCTTAATACCTGGCATAGTGAAGTGATTATAATTTCAAACTTGGCCTGCATCTTTTTGCCAAAGATTTATGGCGAGAACAATAGGCACATTGCAGGAGCAATGTTTCATTCGATGCTCCTGATCGAAATATCCCGACTCAATAGCAAGGTTGACTCGCTAGCCAACCAAATTGCTACGGGGTCCACCATCGCCCCTGCACCCGCGCCAACGCCAGCACCGGGAGCACAGGAAGGGCAGGATGTAGTAACGTCATCTGCTGCTGACGATACGACGCACAAGAAGTGGAAGGCTAGCAGGAAGCTGGTGGTAAGCCACCGTTTGGCGTTTCATTATTACACAAAGAGGAAAGATTCTGACTAGCATTCCAATCGGCCATAGGGTTTGATCAACCCCATGGCCCTTAAATTCCTATGGTCTGCAGAGCTGGAGGCATACACTGCGATTAGCAACAAACGCGAAGGTTATCACCCAAAGTCATTGTTTAATATGATCAAGGTATGTTTTCTATATAGTGATGCAATATGTTTAGATCTGAACCGTGATATACCTGCAGAAAACACTCGCTGGGGAAACTGCGGCGTTTAAGGCCCAGCACCTCCCTCCCCAACGCAAAGGAGTCGAGCACGCAGCCAATACGACAGCGTATGCTTCAGCCCTCCGAGACGCCGGCAAACAAGGGCGAGAGAAGCTACACAACGTGGTATGTAACTTCTTCCTGGTACATTGAGGTCCCTGTCCCCTTGCTGACGTCGAAGAACTGCAGCTTTTGGTAGGTATACATGACCCTAAATCGAAGGAGATTGTGGGCACGCCCGTTCCCTCAATCAAAGACATGGTCAAACGAGTAAGTTCAATTGCATTCAATCGCGGATAGCATAGCCATTAACTGAAGTGCATCTGCTAATTGATAGGTGGCTATCAGATGTGGTGTAGCTGACACATCGGCCGAGGAGGAAGCGGTGTGGAAAGCTACCAATCATGAGACTAGGGCACGAGTAGCCTACATGGTGAGTATCCATAAACTCGCGTCGATTGGTACACTTCGCTGACAAATATAACCTTGCTCAGCGTCGGGAAGCCGCACGGGTGATCTGCAAAGGCCACAAAGGAAATGAATCCGTTTGGGCCAATATTGATCACCAGCTTTCAATACTGCGATCGAAGCGGGATGAAAACTATGCTGCAGCGTAAGTCTACACCAGAGCATGTGTATATCGGTCGTCAGAAGCTTGACCTGACGCTGCTTAATTCTACCGCAGGTTTTATGACCTTGTCTTTGAGGAGGATAAACAGTATTTCACCGGCAAGACCTGGTTCAAAACCATCAAAGCCAATCAGCTCGCTCAGAATAAGGCCCTGGACTTGCCTTCCGAAGAGGCCATCATGGCACGTATGGCGCTAGAGGACGCCCGGCGTGTGAGTGGTCCTGGAACCAGCAACGGCGGCAACCAAGGAACAACAAGTGCTTAAATAAAAAACATGAATTTCAAGTGATTAAGTGGATATCTACAATGTATATTACAAACTATGACTGTTATATCCAATTGTTCAACTCGCCAAAATCCCATTACCATTTAATCATTTCCTCTAATTTAACCTTTGAGATGTTGTCCGAGTGCTTTGCTGAAATTCTATTTGGGTGGTTTCCTATATCACTTAAGGTGCTCAAGCTGAGCTGGATTGTAACGTGAGCGACATTTGCCCCAATTAAGACGGGTTTTCTAATCCAAATACGGGGTCCGAGGCCACGAGGCCCATCGGATTTCTTGGGTAACAGACCCGTTGGACCGCTTGCAGGCCACAAATTGATCGCCAGCTGCCCTCATCAATGCCAGGTCGGCAGGCGGCTTGCAGGCGAGGGGCCGTTTCGACCGTCTGCAGGCGGATTGTAGCTCGCCGCGTGTCGACATCCAGATCGCCTGCTAGCGAGCGCGGCAGGCGGCTTGCAAGCGGCGTACCTGAGCGCCATCTGGAGACCGCCTGCCCGCGTGCAAGAGCTGACGGCCTTCAGATGGGCTGCCTCGCCCGGCTGTAGGCGAGCGAGACGCCTCTGTGGTGTAGGATTTGCTTAATTTCTTATGGGGTGGGAGAATTTTACACCGGGTCATTTACACCGACTTGTTCGGTGTAAAACGTCTTTGGTGTAAAATTCAAAAATCCCCCCCTGTTTTTTGAATTTTACACTTGTTTCAATTTTTTTTGAGTGGTGTAAAAAAAAACAGTGTAAAATTTTCAGTGTAAAAATCTGGTACCCGGTTGAGGAATTGATTTTTACACTGCAATTTTTACACCGGATTATCCGGTGTAAAAAAATTCAGTGTAAAAGTCTTGTGCCCCGACATGGTATCCATTTTTACACCGGATAGTTTACACCGAACAATTTCGGTGCAAAAACCTCCTGTGCAAAATTCCAAGTGATCACTCTCAAAATTGAATTTTACACCTTGATGTCTTGACCAGAAAAAAATCTTTACACTGATTTTTCCCGCAGTCAACGCCGCACCATCCAAAGCTACCAGTACATACAGCACTCGATTACCCCAGCATTCAATCGCCCTTGACCAACATCAATCATTCAATACATCAATTCAGATTTCTGGTTGTGTCATGTTGCTTATGAATGCTCACTGTTTCATTATGTTGACTCGATCCAACAAGAAAAAAGAAATAGATTTCTCAGTCAGCATGCTTTGCAACTAAACAATTAATCTGATACTTGCTCCAAGGGGGTCTTGCTATTGATCGCAAAGTCATATGAATAATGGTACCGTCAAATCGACTGATGATACGCAGATGATCAAGAAGTACATACATTGACAGCAATCAGTTTGGGGTTCTTGAAGTGTCCTATCAGGCTTGGATCTAAACGAGTGAGATCTGTGGAAATTATCAAAGGTGATCTGTGTTTCCAATGTCGAGATGAGCTTGAAGACGAAGATGAAATAACATGTGCTGAAAACCATGGAAGCTCACTTCGCTGCGGCCCAAAAAGTAAACTGAGTGATAACCTCAATCCTTGTCAAACCACCTTGTCCAACTTTTAATAAATCAAGGTCTGCAAACGTTCCAGGTTCGTTGGCCCAAGCTTCGGAAGCGAATTGATTGATTGTGCGTACGCTGAACAGGTAAGCAAGAAGTTAAGTTCGATTTCTCAGAACTGCAAAAGGTATATCAAGTTTCACTCAACACGCGACTCCACGTATCTGACGCCCCGGCGACATCGTCTCCTATCTGCAATAATCCTGTTCTTGACAAAGGATCACAATTGACTTGAAACAAATGACAATTGACTTGCGAATTTGGAGAGATGCACTGTTCAAAATCACCAAGTGTCACTATAATCTCAACTCGGTCACTCGCAGACAGATTGAGGCCGAGGCGACTCGACTCTCTGGTTGTTCTGTTCTAAATCATCCTGAACCAATTCAAAGAAGTCAGTTGCTCAAAGACAAAGAAGTTAAATACAATATATGAAAAACGCATACCCTGTTTCAAGAAGGTATTAACTGAAGTGTTGATGGCCATCACAAGAGAAATAAAGATGAGGTTCAAGAGTTGCTTACGGTGTTTGAAGGTCTTACTCTTGAGGAATGATCAATGGAAGTTGTAGTTCAGGTATCAAGTGTGTCAAAGGTGATGTTTGCTGGTGTTTGATGCATGTTAAAAGATTGATGGATTGGTCATCTTGGTATGTCGGTTCTGTTGTTAATCAGTTTTCTGTCCTAATCAAGTTAGATATATTTGCCGGTGGGTCCATTAACGTCGAGCACATTCGGTGTACAGCTGTTTTCAAAATTAATGTCATGGTGCGGTTTTTCATTTTCATTTTTCCTCGAAAGCCACACCAAATACAGCCAATACAGGCTTGAAAGACCGGAGCGGGGGTTCAAGATTCTATGTAAAACCCGGACCGGTTTCCATCAGGTACATACCCTTACCCATTTCCGATCCCGCCACATCGATATTTTTCTCGCTCCAACATCCACACCTCTCTTCCATCCATTTCACCTCACCTGTTGACCAATTTTCACTCCACCACACCTCCTACCCAGCCAAGCCAAGCCAGGCTCACTGGCAAGGTCTGAGGTTTGATATGCTTCACTACCCACATCCATCACAACTCTTCCCTGACACTGACTCGTATGATTTTCATTATTCCAGGATGGCTCGAGTTCGAAAGGTCCGAGGCGGAAAGTACGACGCGAGTATCAAAGTCTTAGCCATTCAGCATCTGCGTGAAGGCAAGACAATCAATCAGGTTCGAGACCTTCTGAAGTCACCAGTTACCCCACGCACAATCTCTAGATGGCACGCGCTGTACCGAAGAACGGCATTGGTTGTGCGTAATCCTGACGATTACGAGAGGTTGGGACGAAACTTAAGATTATCGGATGAGGACCGCGACTTTATGCTTGAGCTCCTGGATGGCAATCCTGGTCTATACTTAGATGAGTATCGACATTCAATCTATCGGCAGACTGGAGAATGGATATCCCTCGCAACTATCACCCGTGACCTCAAGATTCGACTGAACCTTACTCTCAAAAAGGCTCGAACTGTGCACCCCAATCAAAGTGACACAAAGAGGGCTCGATATCTACACGCAGTCGGAGCGTTGACACCCAACATGCTAGTTTTTTTAGGTAAGTCATCCAGTGACTAAGTTTGATTATACTTGATTCTACTCGAGGTGTCTCAGCTGATTTTTTTATATCCAGACGAGTGCGCCATCCAGGAACGCTTCCTCAAAAGACAGTTTGGCCGCGCCACCAAAGGACAACGAACCAAGAGAGTCCCATGGAGCCGGGCCGGCAAACGCTACTCACTTTTACCAGCCATCTTCAGGGGTGGCATCTTGGCACTCGATTGCCAAGAGGGGAGCTACTATCGTCGCGATTTTGAAGGTTTTCTCAAACATCGACTGGTAAGTGGATGTTCAAGTCCTCACCGGTTGTGGACTACCATGCTGATATGAACTGTCTGATACTGTTCGATAGTTCCCTGTCATGAATCCTTATCCCCTAGCAAATTCTGTGTTGGTCATGGATAATGCACGTATTCATAAGGGTGGCCGGATCGCGGAGCTTGCTGAAGAAAGAGGAATACGGATAATATACCTGCCCCCATACTCACCTGATCTCAACCCCATTGAGAAGGCGTTCAGCGTCCTCAAATCTTGGTTTCGACGTACCCAATGCGTCAATGTAGCCCCGAACATAGAGAAAATTGATGTCATCATGGACTCGGCTTGGAACATTTTCTCGGGTGGTCTTATGCATCGTTTATACAGCGTGTGCGGCTATTGGGTGTAGCTATGGTGCTCAAAGAGATTAGATTCCTCCTGGTGTTTCCCGAGGATCATTTAAATACTCGGTCTTGTTTCTAACCTGTCATATCTACCATCTTGTCGAACAACTTATATACTCGGTCATGTTTCTAACTGTTCTTATCTATCATCTTGTTGAACAACGGTCTTGGTTGTACCTTATCCTGTCTACAATACTGTCGAGCAAAAGTAATGAGAACATTAACTTTGGTCAAAAATGAGAGTAAACGCCAAAGACCGTTAAAGTAGGCATTGATGAACTTTCTCCAGTCATCAATGCAAAGTTATCGCACAAACAAGCAAACAACATCTTGCATTTGCCTGTGCGAGAAATCTTTTGAGAAACGTTTCTCACCTAAAGAACTCGTTTGTGAGATGGTTTAGGGCATGTCCGAGATGGTTTAGGGCTAGTCTGACCATTTGAGAAAATTTTGACATGAACAAGACAAAGAATGACTTGTTCAGTCATCCTTAAGGTTTGACACTGGATTTTTCAAACCGCACACAAAAATCTGAATTGCCAACATCATTTGGGGGATATCATTTGGGGGATATAACTAGTTATTCTACTTGTGCATGAATGACATTGACAGAGAATAAGAGACAAACAAACTGAGCCGAACATGTTTAAGCTCAATCAAACATTCAAACAACCGATTGAGCTTGGAGGGTTAAATTTTTTGAAGTACTGGTGCATGTATGACATTGACAGTGATTAAGAGAGAAACAACGGAACAAGGCATTTTGAATTTTTAAAGCATTTGGGGGAAATCGTGGACTAAAAAACTTGGGTTTTCGCTTAATTGTGTTTTCGCTTAATGACATCTATTTGAAGTTTAAGACGAAAGCGGGATACTTAGTCAGCAACATATCTAGAAACTGTCATGAAGGAGTTACACACATGATTGCCACATTAGAGAGACTTGAGGTAGTGGTTGTATTTGGGAATCGCCTTAAAAAGGTCCTCTGCTTGAGCGAAGAGGATGCCCATCTTGTGGAAGGCCTCAATAGTGTAAGTTCCACGGTCCAGCATTCGGATAAAATCGTTTATACCTTCCTTGGCCAAACATTCACGAGTTGTGGCCATATCCAGGCCAATACCTGCAAAGATAAGGAACTTCTCAAAGTCGATTGAGGTGTCTCGAGGTGGAGGTGATAATCGCTGCGATTGTGCCACCTGGTTAGTCGCCACCTGGTGCCCGCTGTCCATGGCTCGCTCAGCATAAGGAGGGGCATGGTTTGGGTGGGCAGGGTGCCCGTAATAGTTGTGATGAATGACAGTTGCCCCAGTCGAGACGCCAGCGGATTGTCTTCCCGGATTCAAACCTAGCAGAGCGTTCTTCTCTTCCTCGTAATTGCTGACAGGGATCCAGCGGAAACCAGGGCGCTTCATGGGGGGATTGACCTCGTCCACACCACGAACTCCATCGGCCTGCAAACAACCAGATAATGGGGATTAGAGCCGAACTTGTAAGCAAAAGGAGTGAAGAAATGGAAAGTGAGAAGATTTTGAGGAATAACTTACCCAGTCGTTGGCCCAAGTGCGAATGCGGGCTGTGTTGAGGAGCAAACACTCCCCAGCATCCTTAGGGTTTGGAACCGAAGTGATGTTCTCACCTGCCTTGAAGTCTTTTTTGAATCGTTGCATCAATGTACGAAGATTGCGTTCACCAGGGCTAAGAATAGCAGACTAAGCAAGAGCAAAATCAGTCAATGCATTACTGGCAATGCTGGAATGATATGAAAATGACTCACTCCATCCGATGCAACTGACTCCTCACCTTCCGATGAGACCTCGGAGTCTGGGCCATTTGCGGGAGTTCCAACCCTAGAAGTCTTGAGGGTGCTAGCGAGAGATCGACGCGCTTCCTCGCTCTTCAAAGGGTTCTCGTGGACAATCCGGAAGCCCATTTTGGAGGTGGCAGGTGAATGGTCGAAAAGAGAAGGCTTCTTGATAGGCTGTTTATCCCGAGCTTTGAAACCCTTAGAACCGTTAATGAAACCCATGATGGACAGCCCTCCTTGGGCCCAGGCCTGCTGGAGAAGTTCTGAAACTCCCGGAAGGTGTTTGTTGCAAGAGTTGAAAAGCTTGATTTTGAAAAGCGTGAAATCCATGTCTTTAGGTTGGAAGGTGATATAGGTAGGCACTTTTGGAGCGTAGTTGTTGTATTTGACCTTGGTAGGTTTGCGTGAGATCGGCCGGGAGCCACCAGGAGGACGCTTCTGCTTTTTAGGGTCCGGCTCATCCGGGCACTGAGGTTGAAAAAGATTGAAATAAATTCGAAATCTGCGTTCTTCATCGGGAAGTTCGGCAAGGATGTCGGTTGGAGTTGCAGATGTCGAGCTGTTGGTGGAACGAGCTGGGCCCCCAACACCCCTGGGTACGTTCAAATCGATAATCGGCAAGTCTAGAAATCCAAACATTCAAGATAATCAGCTTTCAATTGGGATTGAAATCAACATGGTTGCAACTCACCATCCTCGTTGTCTTGCTCATCTAATAGAGGTGGCAGTTCTAAACAGATAAAGAGTGTCAGCTGATGAGTCGAATGATTTAATAATGCAATATAAAAATCATGAGGATGATGACTCACCATCATCATCAACGACATCAAACGGATCAACCCGTCCTAGAAAAGACCAGAGCGTCAGCTGAAGAATCGCTCTTGACAAGTACATAGATAAAACTGACCTTTGCCGTTGTTTACATCAAAGAGAGGAGAGTCCGGCATGGGCGCACGTCTCTTCACAGGGGAGCTTGGCTCGCTGTTTGAGGTATCCTCAGGTCTTAAGTTATTGAACGAGGTCGAATTATACGAGGTTGAGGAACCAGCTGAGGGGGTACTAAAGAACGGGCTGATATGAGGGTTGATGCAAGATGTGGAAGAATCGGTCGTACTAGAATCAGGCGTGCCAGCAGGGGGAAGGCAGGGGGTGGCACGACGTCTCAAGAGCGCGGTCTTTTGATATGAGGGAGGTATGTAGGGTGGTGCTAAAGCAAACGGGTTGGTGTTTTGTGAAACTGGTGCTAAAGGAAACGGATGGCCATTTGGTGAAACCGTGGGTGTGCTATGCTGGCTGATTGAGTGCCAGTGGCTGGCTGGTGGTAACCTGCACCGCTCCAATGGCAGAGTAAGCAACGGGGCTCATCAGCGAGAACAGAAAATGTGGAGATCACACCTGTGCGTCCCCATATTTTGATCCAGAAGAGCCTGGTGGCTCCGAGTTCGAATTGCGCGGCTCATGGTGTCAAGGCGGTTATCGGACGGGTTGCTGAAATGATGAGTAGGAAATTGATAGACACAAACATTGATAACCAGAAAACGATAATTAGAGAAATTGAAAA